GGAGGTTGGTTTTTCTCATAAAATGTGGCCCCATTTTTACCAACAGTTTTTTTTCCAAAATAATGTGATTGCTAAGATAAACAGATAAACCGTTAGCAATATTTGTAGGAACGATGCAGCTCTTCCCTTTCTTTAACCCAACCATCTAGTTCTACCGATGCCTTACCCTCGCTAGAGCAGCTATTAGGGCATCGTATACCTCTTGCCAACAGAGTTACTGTGGATGTTGGTAGGTTAACTTTGACCTCCATGAAATTAAAATGTAACGTTTTCCCAACTTTTGTTTATTTACATTTTTAGGGGTTTCCCACCAATCCATGTTGCAATCACTACATGACGTTTTCGCAAGCCAAAGATCCGATAACGAAACACCAGTTTGTGAAGAACCAAATATGTTAGCAAGTGCGGTGAAGATTGCCCAAAAGATGCATGGAATGCCAATACCAAAGACAAGAAAAGAGAAAAAGCGAGAAGTAACACCTGAAACTCCTAAAAAGACGAAAAAGGAACGAAGACGCCGCAAGAAGCGGAGCGGTGATTCAGCTGAAAATAGAGAAGAAGCGGTCGTGAATAATATCGCAGATACGTCGGAAACTATGCCTGTCCCAGATGTCCCTTACATACCTAGTCGGGTTTTTAGCGCTAGTGATCTATCACTTGCGAAGCTTGGCTCGTTCGAGGCGAAAGAGAAAATGCTGCGGTCGCTAAGGGAAAAAATGGCCAGATCAGATGATAGTTCTTGAACTCTTGCGTCAAATGTAGTTTGCCAATGCTTATGATGGATAAAGATTTGTATGAGCATGAAGCTGTACAAACAGGATTTGCAGTCATCTCATTTGCTTTGAAGCCCAAATAGGCAATGACATAGCAATAATATATACTGAATATACCTCCAACAATTTTCCTTTCATGTTCCATCACCTTTAACCTTACAATCACGTTTTTCCACAGCTGACGAAACAAAAGGTTCAATTAGCACTCTTTGTACATAAAAAATGAAGGATTGAGAGGAAGAGGTGGGAAGAAAGACTACCAAGCAGGCTTCATGGAACTTTCAGGATCTCACAGTATTGTTATTTCTTGTGTCTGAACATACAATAACCTTGGCATGTTTTCAAAAAGAGAAATTTATTCCTTGTACCGTCCGCATTCGGAACGAAGTAAGAACACGATCTTTAAAAACTAGTCTATATCTTTAATTAAGGCTGGTAGTCGGATAAAACGTAACTTAAACATCTCTAGATTTGAGCGAGAATTACTAGCCTACCGACCATAACTTTAGCCAGTTTAACCCATTGACAACAGCGCATTTTTACTTTCTGGCACTGATCACGGCTAATAATAGTTTGCCTGAGTCACCTTTTCATCTGTCAAATACCTTAGAATTCTATCAAAGTTCAATA